ATTTTCCTTTATGTTGAATTTGCAGATTTTTGTACAGCATGATGGCCTGTATGCAAAGGTAGAGCTGTTCTTAAAAGGTTATATTCTCATTCAAGATGGGTGTTTCAGCGGCACAGTGAATTAAGGGTTCCAGTCTCAGTACTTTAGTTGGAGAATGAGATTAGTCACTCAATTAGGTGTCTCCTCTTCACTTGCATCCACATTTCCTGCTCCTGGGGAAAATACAATGGAAGGGAAATAGTGGTTATTGAGTGACTTTGGACAATGGTTGAGATTACAAAATAATACATTGGGGAAGCTGTAGTAATGATACTACCACTTGCAACTTGTGCATTGTACAATGTGAGCAATTTCTTCAATAAACCCCTGTGATCATGATGCTGATGGAGAAGTGAGAGGTTTTTAACTAATTGTATAGTACAAATAAGGATTTTGTGTGAGTTTAAATACAAAATATAACATGTATTATCTTACTTTTAGTAATCTGTATAGTTTAAGAAACAACACCTAAATGTGGTGTAGTATTTAGTGTTGTGCAGCTGTCAATTCTGTAAAAATGTCAGAATTGCCCATCTCAAACAACGAAGCATGGAATTCTGCTTCCATTGTTGTCTCTAGCAGCTGTCAGAGTTAAATGATTAGTTACACCAGAGAGAGGCTACAACCATTATTTAATTAAATTGTGTTATAGAGTTGCCAATTATGGGAGCAAAGGGAATGTTGCCCAAGTTTCCCAACCTCAGCCTTTTTTGTGGGTGACTTAAAAGACTAAACAAAAGTGGAGAACTATTCATTTGAGTTACACTGTACGGAAGTTTTACAGTGACTCATAATGGTTAGTTAATTTGTCTCAGGCCTTTTATACAGTAACTCCTCACTTAACGTTGTAGTTATGTTCCTGAAAAATGCGACTTTAAGCAAAACGATTTTAAGCGAATCCAATTTCCCCATAAGAATTAATGTAAATGAGGGGGTTAGGTTCCAGGGAAATTTTTTTCACCAAACAAAAGACTATATTATATATCAGGGGTAGGCAACCTATGGCACGCATGCCGAAGGCAGCATGCGAGCTGATTTTCAGTGGCACTCACACTGCCCAGGTCCTGGCCACCAGTCCGGGGGGCTCTGCAGTTTAATTTAATTTTAAATGAAGCTTCTTAAACATTTTAAAAACTTTATTTACTTTACATACAACAATAGTTTAGTTATATATTATAGACTTATAGAAAGAGACCTTCTAAAAACATTAAAATGTATTACTGGCACGCGAAACCTTAAATTAGAGTGAATAAATGAAGACTCAGCACACCACTTCTGAAAGGTTGCCAACCCCTGTTATATATATATATATACACACACACACAAAATATAAGTTTTAAACAAACAATTTAATACTGGTACACAGTGATGATGAATGTGAAGCTTGGTTGAGGTGGAGGAGTCAGAGGGTGGGATATTCCTCTTACTGCTAAATGATGAACTAGCAATTGGCTGAGACCTCAAGGGTTAACTCTCTCATTCTACAAGGCAGCAGGAATGGAGGGAGATATGCGCATTTCCCCTTTAAGTACACTGCCTTGTTAATTAGATCAGCTTGCTGAGACTGCAGCTGCTGCAAGCTCCCTCCGTCCTGAGCCCTGGTGTGTCCCCCTGCTCTATGGAAGATGGGGTAAGCAGGGTGCAGGAGCAGGGGGGAGGGGGACACCCTGATATTAGCCCCCCTCTTCCTTCCCTCCCCCCTGCACAGCAAGCAGAAATCTCGGGGAGCAGTTCCAAGGCAGAGGGCAGGAGCAGCACATGGCAGTGCGGGGAGGGACAGCTGCAATTGCTAACCTGCTGGGCAGCTGCTGCACAGGGAACTTAGGGGAGCAGGGAGCTGATAGGGGGGCTGCCGGTCCAAACAACATTATAAGGGAGCATTGCGCAACTTTAAACGAGCCTGTTCCCTAATTGATCAGCAACGTAACAACAAAACAACGTTAACCGGGACGACTTTAAGTGAGGAGTTACTGTACTTCATCCTACTGTACATTTGCACTGTTCCATTTTGGCACATGAATGAAAGTAATATAATATTTAATGAAAAAATCCAATATCAGTGGCTCATTAAGGTTTTGATGTTTAAATTTACTAAAGTCAGGAAATTCCACACTAAAATTATGCCACTTCTTCTCCTCTCTTAGACCGTGCTTGTTCTCTGTCCCTTCTCACATTACTCTTAATTTGGACATTTCGGTCTTAGTCCTTCTCTTTTTAAGCTAGTGAAAATACTTACCCTCAGTTTTAGCTATTATACACTAGGTGTAAAGCTCTTGGAGGAAATGGTTATCACTGAATTATAAATGCTCCAAAACAGTGCATCTCAGCCTCAGCTATATGGGTTGCTGTAGAAATTTAATACCCATATCTGATGCTTTTAATCTTCAAAATGTTTTTATAAAGGTTTAACAGTCCACAAAACATGCCTGTGCGGTGGGTAAATATGAGCCTCAAGTGACTTGCCAAAGGCTACCGAGGGAGTGGCAAATGAAGGATTTATTGGACCTTGGTTTTGTTCAGAGCAGTAAATTATGCCTCTCTCTCGTAAAGATCTTCTTGTGGAGGATATTACATAGACTTTTTAATATGGTGAAAAACCCAATCTTCATCCTCAAAGTAAAGATCATTAGCGATAACAGAAATGAACCTTGGTTGACCAGGCTGAACCACAGTTGCAGTTGTTTTATCCTAAAACTGTACTGTCAGCTTGGCACCAAATTTTATTTAATTGGTTATGAGGCATGGGCTTTGTTTTACTTCATTTTTTCTTTTAATTCCAGATGGATTGCTTTTTTCCTAATAATTCTGCTTTTTATAATTATTATTTCTTAAAATCTGCATTTATAGTGCTATCAATCTTCTGGGACCCTTTTCACTCACTGCCCCAGGAAGCATGCAGAGATCCATCCTGCCATAACAATAAGTATAATATCTTATACTTACGGAGCACCTTTATCACAAGCACAGACATATGAAGAGTATACACTTCATATGCACAAGGAAGACACACCACTGAAATGAAGCCAGCTCTGGGCTGAAAAAATGACAGCTGTTTCACAGCACACATGGACAGTAGACAGCAGGTTAGGTCAGGAATTAAAGAAGAATGTCATAGTCAGTTCCAGCTTTCACAGGAATTTTAGGCAAGCAGAATGCAATTACTTCTGCTTTAACTTTGCCAGTATTCAGGGATTAAAACTCCTTATTTTACAGATATGGTAAAAATTGATTATGCTATGCATTTTTGTAGTGCTTTTCAGCTGAGGTTCTAATTAATTAAGCCTCACAACAGCCTTGTTAGATAGGTAAATGTTATCCCCATTTTACAGAAGGAGGAACAGCTGTGGAGAGCTGATTTGCTTTTGTTACACTGTAACCCAGTAAAACCTGATCTCCTGATGTCATGTGCTGTAACTCTTCAACAATCTCTCTCCTGCCTTTTGATACTGCCTGACAAGTTTTCCCCTACTGTAACCCTTAATTAGCAAAGGGGCCTGAGAAAGGAAGAAACTATATCCAGTGCCCCGCCTAGCATCACCTTTCCCATTAAGAGCAGGTTCAAGTAGCCAAAGCTTTGTGTTCACTGTTTCAGAGAATTCAATTGGTTTTTTATCCTCTGCTTACCGTTATGTAGTCACTGCACTAAGGATGCAACTCATTGTAAAGCACTTTGCAATACCATCCAATATGAAAAATAGCTAAATGTCATACTCTCTCTTCCTACTTTAACTTCCACCTTGGAGCTGGAGTCCTAGCTTCTAAACCACCTTTATGCCCGTCTGTGCCAGTTTCATGCCAGTCTGGTCCATGATATAAATTAGACACCCTTTTGATTCTGTGGTACAACCTTACATGGGCAGCTTTGACTATCAGTTCAAATGATATTATCATAGTATGAGTCTATTGTACTTTACGCTAGCCACCATTAGCCCCTGAGGGGCTGGTCCAGCAACTAGGGATTGCTGGGGCATTGGCACACTCTGGTCACACTCCCTATGCGGCGGGGAGTAAGTTGGAGGTGGTGTAAGAGCACTATGGTAGCGCTCTGACACCAGTGGGGGTTCCCCTAGGTAAGGGGAATTTGCTGTACTGTTGCAGTGAATGTGGCAGGACAGTATCCAATGTAATAACCCTTTTTATGTGAGCTGTAAGAAGTGTAAAAGGAGAGTGGTTTTCTGGCCAGGGCACAGGACTGGAAGCCAGGAAATATGGGTTCTGTTCCAGGCTCTTCCACAGACTTCCTGTGGGACTTTCATCAAGTTACTTGTTTTCTGAGCCACTATCTCTCCATTACCTACAGTAGCTTTCAGGTGTTTAGCAAGGGTTACTTTATAAATTTTTGTAAAACTCTTTGAGATCCTTAGGTGGCAGGTAAAATTGCAGTACATATTATTATTCTTGGAGTTGATTGTATTAAACAGAAATCCAGTGGTTATTGCATCTGGGCTCCATTATAATTCCCTATCATACAGTATCCGATAACTCATTTTGATACTGAGGTTCATCTTTGAACTGTCAGATTTGCTGCTTGCAGCAGCATTCACTTTAAAAGTTATAATACATATTGCTGATCATAATGAATTCTGTATTTTTTCTTATAAAAGTATTTCACTACATTCTTGTTCGTTAATATTTGCCAGATACAATGCAGATGCATTGTAACTCCTTTCCGCAGTGGTAATGCATCACGGGAAGAATGGAAAACACATCAAACAAATGTAATTTTGCTCTACAGCACAACATTTCAGAGGAGGAATATTTTCTCTCTGCCTTTACTTCTTGTAAAGTACGGTATGCCTAGACGACACATACATCACTGGTGTCTCAGACCCCAGTAGGTTTTGATGTTATAAATCAGTTTTCATATTTCATCATCATTATTAAAACCTGTAGGTTGGCTGAAAACAAACACACATCAGCACTTAAAAGCAATGTGTCATTTTCTGATCTTTTATAAACAGGGGACTTATTTTATTTGAAAATAAAACCTACATTCTGGAGCCATTGGAAAATGCTACAAGTGAACACAAGATCTACCAAGCCGAGAACCTGAAAATAGCCTCCGGATCTTGTGGCAACCAATTCAACGTCTCTGGCATCACTATTGATGACACACCACAGTCTTCTCAAGCATTCACCAGCAGGGTAGGTGGAAAGATAGTTTTATGTTTCTGGATTGTTGGTGATCTCCTTATGCTAATTTCCAGAAATTGGTGAAATATCCAGATCAAAATTAATTGCTGCACTACATGTGTATCATTTAAAGTAATTCATGGATGGTGAAATTGAGGCTCCATTGAGTGGGGCCAAGATTTCACCTTGAGGTGGTGACCATCATGAAATCAAGTAAAATAGAGATGATTGGAAAAGACCCTGCTAAATTCTCTCTTCTTTGCTGTTGCTGGATGGTTCCATACACTACCATATCAGATGGTTAGCCCAACCTAGTTCTAAACAGCCCAGCAAATGGAGCTTCTGCCATTTCTCTTGGGATTGAGATTCCAGTGTAGAGAGATTTTCCCATTTCTAAAGTTCAACATATGACTTCTGGTATTATACCTCTCTGGATCTACCTAGACATACGGTTTAGGACAGTGGTTTTCAACCACTTTTTATTTGCAGATGCCTAAACATTTCGAATGAAGGTGCATCCCTCTTTGGAAATCTTAGACATAGTCTGCGGACCTCCAGGGATCTGCAGACCACAGGTTGAAAACCACTGGTTTAGGAGGCTATCACTTCTCCTGCCGTACTTAGGTCAAAATATGGCTTTTTCCAAGGAGGAACATGGGGGAAATTGTGCCTTGCCAAGGGTGCACTCTCTCTTGCTGCTGCTCCTTGTGCACAGGAAGAGCACAGTTTGTTCCTTGCATTAGGCAGAATGTTCCCTGTGGTATGCCAGCCCTGCTCCATTGACTGATGTAGAGGGAAGGGATGCAGTCACAACCCTGCCTTCAACATCCTGCTCCCTGGGGAATAGCAGGAGCAAGCAGGCCTTATGCTCCTCAGATTGTGAGTGAGCCCTGGGTAGCTTCCAGCCCTGCGCAGGGGCCACTCACAATCTGAGTCTTATGGCTTTGACAATCGATACTTGTTTAGTTCTTTTACACTTTGTCCATGAGTTAATCTCTCCAGTTTCTTAGGCTTCTATTCATCAAAGCATTTAACCACATGCTAAGTTCTCTTAAAGACAATGGAACATAAGCATGTGTTTGAAGTTAAACATGCGCTTAAGTGCTTTGCTAAATCAAGGCCTTTAATCATTTTTCTTGCTCGTATTTTAATTCCTCCCTGTTTTCATTAATGAGGTGATGCAGAATTGTAGGCAGATTACAAATTCTGGTAATATATTTTGATTTCTGTGCCACTTGCAATTCAGTCTTAAAGAAAGGAGCTGACAATGTCTAGAATAGCTTTTGGCCCACCCAAGGAGGAAAGGACAACATTATAGTCATGTTACTTTCCTAATAATACATGTTGAAATTTAAACAAACCTTTATATTGTAATAGGAAAGTATCTTATGCACACAGAACACGTTCGCAGCATTTTATTCTAGGGATATATCATTTGTAATTGTTTTCATGTAGGAGAAAATATACTTGACTTGCAATGCATCTAGCTAATGGAAATTATATAAAATAAATGACTTTCAAACCAGATGGAAAAAATACTGCCACAAATTCACGTGCATCTTGGATTGGGTTTGTAGAAGGGAATGTTTGAGATGTTCAAGAGTAACATAGTAGCACAAATCTGCGCACAGTTTTTATTAAATGGGAAATATTAGTGTTTATAGTCACATTGCCTACCTAGTTCATTTAGTCTTTGTGTTAAGTTCAGTGTTAAGGAAAACAGCTTAAATGGCATCAAGGGATGTTATTTATGTACTGGAACAAATTCATTTGCCTTGCAGGAACATTAAACAGTACATTACCAAATTTCTTTTTCTCTAAATACATATACATTTGCTGTAGATATGTTGCTGCATCTTTTTCTAATGCTGTAAGTATGGGTAAGTCAGGACATAGATTGCACCACAATGCAATTAGTTTCAGAAGACAAGCTGAAAGAAGTGATAATTAAATACTTTTTATAAATAAATATTGTATCTGAGGAACACACACAGCCTCTGGCCAAGTCACAGGAATAGATTCAATACACTAATAAGTCACCACAGGCTCATATGATTAGGCCCCTCCAGTCAACTGTTCAATTTCTAAATCTTCCCCATTCCAAGCAGTTTTACTTTGGGATGGCTTAAATTGATTGGCATGCCCAAGCATTTCTCACATGTTTACATCTATGCTGTCATCTATGGTCTTAATATTAGCTTTGGGGAAAACCAAAGCATCTTGCAAATCTGCAGTTTTCTGAACAACAGCTCAGAATAAGTCTCAGGCATCTATTAAAAACTACAGTGGCAGAGAAACCAACTCTGCCACACATAGGAATATGTGTAGTCATTTGTTTATTTCAGTAATGTAGCGTTTCACCCATGCCCAGTATTTGTGGATCGAGATTTTAAAAGGAAGGTAAATCAAGATGCTTAATCATGCGAATCCCCAGACTTCACACAAATGGTGCACTCAGCCATAGATTTCTCCAGCCCAGCCAGTTCAGAGCATTTGCTCTGCCTGTAGTTTGATTATTATTCAGATACTGTGGTTTAAATGTTATACCAAATGAATAAATATAAAATCTGCTTATAATAAAACGTGTAACACTTCAGAGTTATAGGGTTATTAAGAGTACAATTGCCAGTAATTTTTCATCCTCCTCCTCTAAGTCTCTTTGTGGGACACCAAAAATTGATGAATTTAGTAACATTGATGAAGTTAGTAACATTTTGCAACCTCCAGGATGAAGCTTGTATTTCTGTGTTTTCTTTCACAATCCTTATCTCTATCCAGTTTTGCTTACCTTTCTTTTTCCTTTCCCATTATCTCCCTTCTCCCTGAGTCTGTCCAGACCTAATCTTACTCCCCTTCCCAGTTTTGCCTCAACAACCTTTCTTCTCCATCCATCACTTCCACTCACCCATTTTTTCCTGTAGTTCATGTTCCTTTGTAGCTTCCCATATTTATGTCATTCACTGATTCCCCTCTTCATATCTCCCCTAGTTCACTCCTCATTCCCTCCTCACTGGTGTTTCTTAGTGGTCATAGATTCATAGGCTTTAAGGCCAGAAACGACCACTGTAATCATCTTATCTGACCTCCTGGAGCACAGAAGCCATAGAACATCCCCAAAATAATTCCTAGAGCAGATCTTTTAGAAAAATATTCAATTTTCATTTTAAAATCGCCAGTGACGGAGAATTCACCATAGACCTTTGCAAATTATTCCAATGGTTAATTACCCTCACTGTTAAAAAAATATGCCTTATTTCCACTCTGAATTTATCTAGCTTCAACTTCCAGCCATCGGATCATGTTACACCTTTCTCTGCTAGATTGAAGAGCCATTATAGACTGTAATAACTTCACACCATACCCGTCTCTTTGTTAAGCTAAATAAATTGAACTCCTTGAGACTATCACTATAAAGCCCATTTTCTAATGCTTTAATCTTTATCATGGCTCTTCTCTGAACCCTCTCCGATTTATCTACATCCTTCTTGAATTGTGAAAACCAGAACTGGACACAGTATTCCAGCAGTGGTTGCACTGGTGCCAAATACAGAAATAAAATAACTTCTTTCTTCCTACTCAAGATTCCTCTGTTTATGCATCCCAGGATCTCATTAGCTCTTTTGGCCACAGCATCACACTGAGAGCTCATGTTCAATTGATTATCCACCAGGACCCCCAAATCTTTTTTAGAGTTCCTGCTTCCTAGCATAAAGTCCCCCTGTCACCGTGCCTCAGTGGGTCACAACTGAGAATACTAGATTCAGGACAAACTGCTGAGAAGTGGAGCAGACTTGCCCCAAACTGGTGGTTATTCTTCCTTAAGATATACCATAGCAGTAACAAAAGTAAACTTCTGTCTCACCACATTGGCTAACAAGAAGTCAGAAATGCAGTCTCTTTAGGTATCATAATCCTTGTTTCAAGACCCAGATGCTAGACTTAATGATGAGTGGTTATTTAAAACCAGTTTCATCAATGAAAGGGTTCCACTGATCCCAAAGGACTAGCCGCATACCCAGGTCAATATATAACTCAGATCTTACCCAATAATCATGCTGTTGCCAATCCTTTAGTATCTAATATCTAAAGGTTTATTTATAAGAGAAAAGAAAGAGGTGAGAGTTGGTCAAAGGAAATTAAATACATATAATAATTGCAAAGTTCTTGTAGCAGGTTTGAAGCAATGATGGAATAAACTGCTGGCTTATAATGTCTCTGGTAACATCCAAAAGCTTGGAAGGTCCTCAGGCCCTTGGTTAGAATGCTCCCATTAGTATAGGTCCATAGTCCAGAGATCAGAGCAGGAAAGAGGCAAAATGGCTCTTTCCAGGCTTTTTTATAGTTTCTCCCATGTGGAGGGAAACTCATTGTCCCAAGCAAAGCCCCCAGCACAGTTTGTGGAAAAGTACAGGCATAAGATTGAGTCCAGTGTCACATGCCCTTGCATGCTTCGATGAGTCATAGAAGCAGTCATTACCCATATTTTGGCTAAAACGTCCACAGGAAGACCCATTGGGGGGGAATGAGTTTCTTCTGTGACCCATTGTGCTCATTAATGGGTCAGCAACTTGAATGATCCATTCACAATCTGCTGGCTAGACTGGATGTAAACTACCTGGTGGGTGTCACCCCAGGAACAAACACATTTGACATATTGGTACATAGTCAGTATTCATAACTTCAGATACAAAGATGATATACACATATAAACAGGATAATCATATTCAGCAAATCATAACTTTTCCATTGACATGTTACATGACATACTTTTTTGTATAAGATGTGTTGCAATTTTATAACAGTGGTAGCAACAATGATCTACATGGTCATATTTTAATCATATAATATCACACCCCCATCCTGTAAGTATGACCTACATTATTTGTTCCCAGATGTATACATTTACATTTTGCCATATTAAAATGCATATCGTTTGCTTGCACCCAGTTTACCAAGCGATCCAGATAGGTGACCTATCCTCTTCATTATTTACCACTACCCCAATTTTTGTGTTTTCTGCAAAGTTTATCAGGGATGATTTTATGTTTTCTCCCAGGTTATTGATAAAGATGTTAAATAGTGTAGGACCAAGAACCTATTTCCCATTTACAGCTACATTTTGAGACCTATCAGTTAGCCAGTTTTTAATCCATTTAATGTGTGCTATGTTAATTTTATATCATTCTAGTTTTTTAATCAAAACATTGCGTGGTATCAAGACAAACAACTTACAGGAGTCTAAATATATTACAGCAACACTATTACCTTTACCAGCCAAACTTGTAATCTCATAAAAAAATAAGATTAATTTGACATGATTTATTTTCCATAAATCTGATTTGTATTAATTATGTTACTCTCCTTTAGTTCTTTATTAATCGAGTCCCATATCAGCTGCTCCATTATCTTGCCTGGGATCGATGTCAGGTTGATAAGGCTGTAATTACCCAGCTCATCCTGTTTACCCTTTTTAAACACTGGCACAACGTTAGCTTTTTCCCAGTCTTCTGGAACTTCCTCGGTCCTCCAAGATTTATTGAAAATCAACATTAACAATCCAGCAAGTTGTTTGGCCTGCTGTCTTAAAACTCTTGGATGCAGGTTATCTGGACTTGGTGATTTAAAAATGTCTAACTTTAGTAGCTTCTGTTTAACATCCTTCAGACATACTAATGGAATGGGAAGTGTGTTATCACAATATGATGAGACGACATCATCTCTTTTTCCCCCAAATACAGAACAGAAACATTTAGTGAACACTTCTGTCTTTTCTGCAGTATTATTGATAATTCTACCATTTCCATCTTGTAATGGACCAATACCATTGTCAGAATTCTTTTTGTTCCTATTATATTTAACAAACTCCCTCTTATTGTCCTTAACTCTACAGGCCATAATTTCTCCTTGCCTCCCTTGACTTCTCTTATTAGTTTTCTACAATTCCTATCTTCTGATTTAAATTCTTTACTATCACCTTCTCCTTTCTACCTTTTGTTATATTTTATTTTATACAGCTGCCTTCACTTTCCGTCTAAACCAGGTTGGCTTTTTAACCAGTATAGCCTTCTTGCTCAGCTGTGGGATTGTGGCTTTTTGGGGCACATAGTAAGACATTCTTAAATTATTCCCAATTATCATTCATATTTTTCTGATTAAATTTTTTCTCCCAACTGATTTGGCTCATAAATATTTTCAGCTTTGTGAAATTGGCTCTATTAAAGCACCAAACATATATATCACTGGTCTGGACTTTGTTCTGCCTGCACATTATAAATGTGATCAAGTTATGATCACATGTACCTAAGCTACTATTGATTTTTAATTCTGTTGTCAGTTCCTCTTTATCTGTTAGGACAAGGTCTAATATAGAATTCCCCCATGCTGACTGCAACACTATTTGAGTTAGGAAATTGTCATCTATAAAGTTTTGAAATTCCAAGGGTGTTTTAGTGCCAGCAGCATAAGACCTCCAGCATATGTCACTCAAATTGAAGTCCCTTATGATCACTCAGTTCTTTTTCCTTACACATTATAGATAGCTGTGTAAGAAGGCGGTTATCCTGTTCCTGTGATTTGGTGGTCTATAGCAGGCACCAACTTGTACCCCATCTTGTGCCTTATTTGTTAGTACATTGATCCATAACCATTCAAGCTCATTTTCTTCTGAGTTATCAGTGATTTGGAAACAGGTAATGTCATTTTTAACACAGAGTGCCATTCCCGCTCCCTTTTCCTCACTAAATAGGTTAAAACCATTGATTTTAATATTCCAGTTGTGTGAACCATCCCACCAAGTTTCAGTAATACCCACCAGATCAAATTTATGCTGATGAATGAGCAATTCCAATTCCTCTTGTTTGTTACCCAGGCTCTTAGAATTGGTGTACAGACAATTCAAGAATTTCTTCTCCTTATGTCGTTTGGTCCCTTGACTAATTTTGTTCTCAACATCTCGATTTTGTGCTAAGTGGTCAGTTGACCATTATGTGAAATATTACAAGCTGTTACCATAGTGCTTCTCTGAAAGTATTGCAAGAAACAACTGAGGTCTTTCCACCAAAAAAGATTTTCATCGTGCAAGGGGCACCTGACCATTTCAAATAGAGCAAGGTGGAAGGTTACAAATTACAGAAAGGCCATTTGCCTACCTGTACTGCCCAGCTTTCTTGATGATTGGATCAGTGCCATGTAAATATCCTCTCCTCTGATTGAAGAGGGAGAGGGTTATGTAAGGAAGAGAAAAGAGACCAAGAATTGAGTGGTGTGAAGCTTGAGAAGGAAATTTTTACTCTCTTTGACAATGTCTTTGCTGGGGTGAGCGAGAGCTGATACTCAGGTCTTCAGGGTTATTTGATGCAAAAACAGATTTCTATTTATATTTGTTTTGGCAGCACAAGAGGGAGACTCTGAAGATAACAAAATATGTGGAGCTTGTTATTGTTGCAGATAATCGAGAGGTAAGAAAGTTTTAAAGAAAAGATGCAGTTAATAGAGGGAGTATTGGAGGGAAGGTCATTGTTTAGTTCAGTTTTCATGGTGCTGCAAACAATTGTGCTTAAGAGAACAATACTGTGCATTGCTAAAACAACATTTGTCATCTAAATAGGGCTACGTTAACAGAAAGGACTATTTAAAAACAGTGTAAGGGTGACAAGTATTTGTTCCAAGGCTAAAATGTTCCTTGCAACACTTTGGAAGGAATTTAGTGCTCACAAACATCTGCGACCTCTTTCAGTAATTTAAATGGATGCCTGTAAGTATTCACTGGCCATGACCCAGTGAGGTGGTTGAGCCCCCAATACACTATTTAACTCTGACCTCTGGAGACCATCACTGTCTAGAGTAAACAGCATAATTCAGTGTTGTTGGTTCTTGTAATTTGGCAATTATGCTGAATTAAGCAAGACTGTATGCAGAGTTTGCAAAGTGGGTTTCAAAACAAGTAAAAGAGACAGATTGTCAAAAATATCTCAACTGGCTGGAGTGAAACCAAAGATGTGAAATCTTGGTACGAACTATTTTCCAATTTACATTTTTTCTTTCAAAATGTGACAGACTCCACTTCTTGAACACTGCTGGTTAAACAGCAAACATCAATTTCTTGCAATAGCAGAGACCGTTAAAAGAAGAACCTTTCCATTTTTGCAATAAAAACAATCCTCGGGAGATTCTGCGTAGGAGTGTAAGGGATTTTAGAATCTTTTCTGAAAACAAAATCCCTTCATCCAATTTGTGCCAAATTTTGTGCCATTTTGAGCCAAATCCTAGTCCCGCGGAAGTCAATGGGTCTTTGGCCTTTTATGCATTTAAACCCCAAATGTTAATGTCAGTCTGCCACTGGTAGGTGATTTTTGCAGGCAAATGTGACGATACTAATGCTGATTATGCATTACTCTTTTACATTCTAAGTTTCAGAGACAGGGAAAGGATGTGGAAAAAGTTAAGCAGAGGCTGATAGAAATTGCAAACTATGTCGATAAGGTAAGAGATAAAAAATATTTCATTTTCTCATATTTCCAAGGGGTATTGCTGTGAAATCTATGCCATCTAGGCTTATTGGGAGGGAAAAGCCTTCTGAAATTCAAATATTGTTACCCACCATTCCTGCAAAGACAAGAAAATGGCTTCTCAGTGAGAATGTGTCAGCCACAAAGAATGGCAAGAACGAGATTTCCAGCACCGCAGCATTTTTACTAGGACAACCATGAAACAGTTTGGGGGTGCTGTGCATGTGGCAATGGGATGACTAAGGTTCTGTTAATGCAATTTTTAAGGCAAACATTAACCTAGACCTGACACATTTCTTTCTAAGTGCAAGAGAAGAACCACAGACTTAACTTAGACAAAGATACTTTGTTTAGGTAATGACCAACTTGGGCATTCCAGTGGCTGGGATGAAAGTTTGTTGCATTCTGAGGCCTTGTCTATACTAGAACATTTTTATGTTGCCAGCACCATTGCAACCCCTCTGCATGCCTGTTACACACCACATGTCCATAAACAGAAGTGCCTGCAACACTATGCAAAAACTCACTCCACTACTGTGACTGTCCTTGCTCTGAGCAAAGCTGTGCACTTATATGGTCCTCCAGTGTGTCACTTTGTACTGTTGCAATGCTAGTGTAGACAGCAAGTACTACTTCAGAGTTTGCATTGGTGCAATTAGTCATCCTAGCATAATTCCATAATGCTTTTGCCCATCCTTTGTCACCTCTCAATTCACCCACCAACCAGCTCTGTGCAGGTCTGAAAGTACCCATTGCAGTACTTGGCTGTTGTTGACTATCTACACAAGGGCAGGTCTACAAGCAGCCATGGCTTCTCTGTTTCTGCTGCTCTCATGTATTGACTTCTCAAATGTGGTGTTCACCCCGTACTCCAATTTGCAGAAAAATATCTCTAGCCAAACAGCAGCGGCAGCAAAAGTATGAACTACCCCACCATGTCCTGTTCAACTCAGTAAGTTGTGAACTCAGTACCCTAAATATCTCAAAGCCTAGCTGGAACCAACATACTTTTTGAGGAACGATTCCTTCCTTGTAATGCTTATGGGACACTGCACCAATATGCAGCCTCCTACACAGGGCTTGTGGTACAACCACAATTTAGGCTTTAGATTTTATTAGGCTGGCCTGAAAATGTGGGTAATTGTTGGACAAATTGTGGAAAGAGGTAGGTTTTGAAAAGGGATTTGAAGAAGGAGAGGGTGGTTGGTTGAAGAAGTAGGGAGCATACTCCAGACATAAGGGCCAGCAAGGGAGAAAGCTATAAGGTATTGTGGAAGTAAGTTAGAAAGAAGCAAGAAGGGAAGCAAAATTAGCAGCACACAGATCCCCAGTTGTGTGAATGGCAGGAAACAAGAGTTGAGATGTGGGCAAGGGCAGAGCCATGTGGTAGTTTGAAGGTGAGGATGAGGAATGAGATGTAGAGCTAGACTTCTTGTATTTAATGTGGTTTCTTTTAAATATACTATATACACCAGGATTCTTCAGGATGAAAGGAATTGTATAATGTTCAGTGTTGTTAATAAGAGCTTCTTGAACACAAACCAACCACCAGGTAAAATGGGATTAAAGCTTACAGTACTGTGCCATATGTTTGGAAAACCTAGGAGAGTCCAGTAATGGAACTGTGACCGACAGAGTCTGATTTAACTGAGAACTTATCAACTGGTATCTCAAAACTCTTACTCAACGTCAGGCAATTCTAGATTAAAAACAAGCTGCTGGACAGAACTCAGCTTGTTCTGTAACTGTGTTGCTGACTTATTAAAGGAAGGAGGGAGTTTATTTGCTACCTATTTGAAACTAATTTTGCATGTTATATTCATTTTGGCTTCAGTTTATGCTCTCAGTGAATTGCACTGCTACCCAAATGACTGCAAAACATACAAATCAGACAAAGATGCTGTATATGCCTGGTTTTGTTTGGACTGTAAGACATAACCCTGCTAGAATGGTCCCTGGCCTACTAGGTATTCTCCATACTAGACTTATTTTCCTAAAATTTCCTGCCATTGCTGGCACTAGTGCAAGTTTATCAATGGTGGGGTCTCTATTATAGATAAGGTAGCCATTGATATTAGAACCACTTTGTCATCTAGACCTGCTATGAGCAGGATTAGATGACTCTGGCAACTGGCATTTTAGTTACAAGTCTATACTAGCACTCCCACCAGTTGTGTTGCATTGGTGGTAGCAACAAAGGGAAATGTTTGGAGTCACTTGGACTTGAAGTGAATTTGTTTGGAAATTCATTGGGTATGGAAGCCTGTTGCACCTTGGAGGAATGTACCAACCTTGGCCAGGACATGGAGATTCTACCACGAGGCCTGCTGAGAGTTTTAATGTTTTTCCTGAACGTTTCCTGGATAGTTAGCCATGGTCAGATCTCTTTCTCTGGGTCATGGCAATGTACACATTGTACTCTCCTCTTCCACCCTAAGAGGAAAGGTTTTTTCCTGGGACCAAATAGATTTCTGAGAGGATTGTGTGAACATTATGATTTTGTTAACATGCACTGATTTAACACATTCCTCTAAAATAGGATGTAGAAAGATTCATTTGTTTGCCTCGCTAGTTCTACAGGCCATTAAATATTCGAGTAGCCCTGGTTGGAGTGGAGGTGTGGAATGACATGGATAAGTGCTCTATAACACAAGACCCCTTCACCAGCCTCCATGAGTTTCTGGATTGGAGAAAGCTGAAACTACTACCTCGTAAACCCCATGACAATGCACAACTAGTGAGGTATAGCCAGCGATGTATTTAATATTTGCATGACTATTGGCTGGGGTTTCCAGGAACTGAGAATCATCATACAAAGTTCTGTTACTTTTTTTTTTGTTAAAATATTTGGGTGATTGTGTTTTTGAAAGCAAAAAGCAGCCCTCCATCCTTCACAAGCTCACAATTTCTTCCCAGGACCCTGCATTAGTGTGGGAAGATGCTATGTCAGCTTCCTCACACACTTCTGCAAAAAACTATTACTCATGGGCCTCCTCTGAGCAGCATCTGTGTAGAATTGTGCCTAGGGCCCAGTCACACAAACACTTACGCACATGTCTAACATTAAGCGTGTGAGTAATCTCACTGAAGTTAATGGGACCACTCACATGCTTACAATTAAGCATGTGTGTAACTGTTCGCAGGACTGTTGCCTAGTTTTATCAGTTTTAACAGACAAGAGCCTTGATCCAAAGTCTGTTGAACTCAATTAAAGACTCCCCTTATTTATTATTAATTATTATTATTTATTATTGTAGCACCAAGAAGCCCTAGTCATGGATCAGGACCCTACTGTGCCAGGCACTGTACAAACACAGAACAAAAAGACATTCCTTGCCCCCACAGACCTAGATTGAGATCACCAAATTCATTTTTACAGTAGAACCTTGATTTTACAAACACCAGTCTTGTGAATGACCAGTTATACTAACCATTTTTGCAGATGGAAAAAAATATCACATAACAAAAGTGTTGTCTACAAAGAACAAGTCGATATCCCTTCACATTCCATTCCTTCAGTGCATTGGAAGTTGCTTTGCAAGAGGTCTGAAAGACATAAGAAAGTGATGCAGTCCACTATTCTGCAACTTATGCACCATTCCTATTGTAATTTTGAGATGTTCAATTTTATGAACTTTTCAATTTTTAGAACTCCTCAGTTCATAATGTAAGGGTTCTACTGTATTTGTGACTTAAATAAAATGAGAAACCTGTCATTGTATAGCTTGACAAAGTGGATGAGGTAATATCCTGGGACATACATGGCTACAACAACACTGCAAAAATTATATGGCTTAGACTGATTTATTTTCTACAAACAAGTGTTCAAAGGTATAATGACAAAATCTTCCATTGGCCATAATGACAATCAGGTCAAGAAAGTATATTTTATACGGAGAATATTTATACTTGACTAGAGCTAGTATATGTTTTCTCTTAATTATTTTAATGTAGTAGACAACAATAAGTTGAAAGATCAAACATTCACAGTTGAATGACTCTTAGCAATTAAAGCAAAAATGTATTGAGGCATTCAGTATTTTACTTGAAGTATAGGAGGATGTCTTCCAAATTGTTGCAATATCATTAATTGCTCTGTAAATACAAAAATCTTTCAGTTGGATTAATGAATTTTAGGGTACACCTTATAGCTAATAAATTATAAATTTGCACTGTGTTGTATTGACACTTGCATGAACTGCAAGCATGTCTATGTATGTGCATTTCCCAAGTTAAATTGTAATGGCAGTTTTCAATTGTTGGCATGGTTCTAATATATTGTATTCCAAAAAAAAAAAAAAAAGTCCTACTACATCAGAAACTCCAGAGGATGCTCAAATGCATCTTTCATATAGCAGGGATTCTGTCATTGTCAGTTCCACAGATTTGCATGACTAATTTCTGATCCTCATTGTTTTCAACTTTCAATGTCTGGAGCTGGCATTTTGAAAATGGGATCGTTGCCTGAGACTGGCAGGAAAAAGAAGTTATAAAATATTAGGATCCTTTCATTTTGCATTAAATGGTGATTCTGTGGTTTGTCTTCTTCCCCTCCTCCCCGCCCCCTTCAGTGGGGTGTACTTCCAAGGGACTACCATCGGCATGGCACCTATAATGAGCATGTGCACTGCAGAGCAGTCTGGAGGAGTTGTTATGGTAAGTATTGGGAGCACAAAAGTTGAATTTGGTCCATCTTGTGCAAAAAGTTTCCATGAGTTCTATAATACTGTATCTTGTCATGGAAAGTCTGCTTTTTAGTACTGTTTTCAATCTAAACTCTTGTTTTGTCTACATCTACATACAGTGTATGTATATTTGTTTTAAGTATCATATCTCATAGTGAATGAAATAATACCTTGCATTAAAATATGGTTTAGCCTCTTTATAGAAATCCTTGAAATCAATGGGAGTATTCACTGGGTTATGAGCGTTTGCAGGATTAGGATAGAAATGAACAAGTTTGCTGTGCATATATGGCTATATGCAATGAAAGCCTCTCATAAATCTTTGATAAGAAATAATAGTTTAAAATACTGCATTTACCATGCACCAAGGATATACATTTACAAAGCCTCCAGTGTAATAGTTTATTTTTCATGTTTCTAGTAAAGTGGTTTTACTATAATTGTCAGACTTCAAGCACAATCTACACTAGCAACAGTGGCAACATTCATGTTAACTACATTTCTCTCACAAAGGGTTTTACTGTTGCTTTTGTTGTCAGCTTCCAGACATGTGACTAATACACATAATTCATGAGTTAGAACATTTTGGCCTTTATCAGAACTTGTCACCGGTGATAAATGCAACATAATTACATGTCCAAATAAAGAAAAGATGCACCGAAACCAATACAAACATTGAAATTCTGACTTAAGCTAGCTACTCAGTTCATAAGATCCCCTGTTGTGTTGAGTTATTTAAGGATCTTAAAATAAAATATTGTTTTATATACTACACTTGGCATATACAGTAGGTTCTGGACTGGCATGCAGAACTATTGTTGATTTCACTGAAAGTTACATGCATTGAAAGACCTCAGAATATTGGTATAGTGGGAGTTAACCATTGAGGACCATCCTCAGTTGAATTCCTTGATTTCTTCCTTTTAAACTATCTCCTACCCAGTATTCCCATGATGTGTTACATTGTATTTTAATGCAAAGTTTTACCTTGTTCACTATGAAAGTTCACTCTATTGACAAAAAATAAATTCCTTTATTCAACTAGTCAAATTACAAAGATGAATGTCTCTTTAAAATGTTTGTGGGGTTATGGGTATTAGGCTGATAAATAATACTTCATGTTTTCTAGAATTAAACAAAGAGTGCTCTAGAAACCATGGGCCAGGTTGTGCAGCTTTATTCACATTGAGTAGTACCCTACTTCTTAAGGAGTCCCACTGAAATAAATGGAAGCACTTGAAGTCCTACTTAATGTAATTTTTGCACAATCTTGGCCCTAAGTGCTTTTCTAATATTTTAGCTAAATCTTCCTGAAAAACAGACAGTTGGCCCAAAATAAAACAAAAACCCACAACCAAACCAAATCACAAGCACTGAAATTTAACTCCTGTATAAAAATGAAATACACAAAAAACAAAACTTCAGAAAGAAGGATGTGTAGGTGAATTAATCAGTGGTTTCTAACCCTAGAGTCCACAGCGCCCAAACTCTCCAACACATGGCACATATTCATGTACATGCTCTTTGTAATGCTACACGCCCTTCTCCAAAAGAGCTCCCACCACTCTGGAAGTACATTTCTAAGTACAAAGGTTGGTGGAAGTCACTATATACCAAATAATCTGTGAATATCAAAAGGGGGAAGGATCACAGAATCATAGGACTGGAAGGGACCTCAAGAGATCATCTAATCCAGTCCCCTGCACTCATGGCAGGACTAAGTATTATCTAGACCTACGGCACGCATGCCAAAGGTGGCACGCAAGCCAATTTTTAATGGCACGCTGCTGCCAACCGAGGTCCCGGCCACCGGCCCCACTCAGCCCGCTGCCGGCCTGGGTGAAAGAAACCCCAGGACGGCAGCGGGCTGAGCGGGGCCAGTGGCCGGGACCCCAGGCTGGCAGTGGGCTGAGTGGGGCCAGTGGCCGGGACCCCAGAGCGGTGGCAGGCTGAGCGGCTCAGCCCGCTGCCGGTCTGGGGTCCCGGCTGCCGACCCCACTCAGCCCGCTGCTCTCCGACAGGGAGTTCCTCCAGGAAGGGCAGGCAGTCGCCAGCCAGGGATTCTTCCCCGCGGGCTAGCGGAAAGGCACCTCGGTGATCCCGGATGTGAGTTCCGAAGCCCCTGCCCACAGGGCTCAGGGAGCACTGTGGGGACTGGGCTCTGGGAAGCAGCTGCGTTAGGGCTCCCAGATGCTGCATGAGCGGCTTGTGCAACTCTCTCCTGGCCCCTGGACTTTAAAGGGGGAGCCTGGACTGGTGCAAGGCGCTGTGAGTCGCAACTGGCCCCCCTCTTTGCAGGGCCCCGCTGCCACCTCATGCTCCCACTCTCCTCTCCCCTTCTCTGGCACTGCATCAGCCCAGGAGGGGGCCATGCCCCTGGCACTCCTGAGCCAACCGGGTAGCGGTTGGGTTTGAGGGGTTTTGCAGCCTCTGGAAAGAGCAGCTGGAGACAGGGAGGCTCTTGCTGTGTCTGTGCATCCTAACACCATGGCACTTCAGCTCAGGCGAGAGTGGCCCCCTGTCTGGGCAGCTTTCAGCCCCCAGGAGAGTTCAGGTTTAAAATGCACAAACTGCGGCGTGATCTGGATAGGTCTTGCATCGCAGGGGATCTGCATCTCAAAGGGGAAGGCAGTGGGGAGCGCAGTGGTCCCTAGAAGCAGCCATATGAGTTTTTTGGGGAGCAGGGACGCGGGTCTTAAGGGCCGCTTCTGAGAGCTCCAGCCCCTGCTGTGTCAGTTTCATGTCAGGAATTGCAGCTGAGCTGCTTCTCTGAGCCATTGGCATCACCGAAAGGGAGAAGCTGAAACTCCCCTGGGCACTGTGTCAATAAGAGTATTCGGTGCACAGGTTCATTTGAAAGAACCTCCTAATGCTCCTTTATGTGGTGGCAGCGTCCCCCTTCCCTCCTCTCCCCCCCCTCCCCCACCCTGTTGCTGGTACAGTCACTGCTTTTCCTCTTAAATTCACATGCTATCTTCTTCTGAACTTGAAAAGTATCTGGGGTGTTTGTGTGGATCAATATTGCAGGGAGAGATGGGAGCCAGAAAGGGCAAAATCTATATGGACCGTCCATTTAGATCAGCGGTAGGCAACCTATGGCACGCGTGCCAAAAGCAGCACGCGAGCTGATTTTCAGTGGCACTTGCACTGCCTGGCTCCTGGCCACCGGTCCGGGGGGCTCTGCATTTTAATTTAATTTTAAATGAAGCTTCTTAAACACTTTTAAAACCTTATTTACTTTACATACAACAATAGTTTTGTTATATATTATAGACTTATAGAAAGAGACCTTCTAAAAACATTAAAATGTATTACTGGCACGTGAAACATTAAACTAAAGTGAATAAATGAAGACTCGGCACACCACTTCTGAAAGGTTGCCGACCCCTGATCTAGACCATCCCTGACAGGTGTTTGTCTAACCTGCTCTTAAAAATCTCCAATGATGGAGATTCCATAACCTCCCTAGGCAATTTATTCCAGTGCTTAACCACCCTGACAGTTAGGAAGTTTTGTCCAATCTAAACCTCCCTTGCAGCAATTTAAGCCCACTGCTTCTTGTCCTATCCTCAGAGGTTAAGAAGAACAATTTTTCTCCCTCCTCCTTGTAACAACCTTTTATGTACTTGAAAACTGTTATCATGTCCCCTCTCAGTCTTCTCTTTTCCAGACTAAACAAACCCAATTTTTTCAATCTTCCCTCATAGGTCATGTTTTATAGACCTTTAATCAGGGCCGGCTCCAGGCACCAGCCTGGCAAGCAGGTGCTTGTGGTGGCCGCTCCGAAGAGGGGTGGCATGTCCAGCTATTCAGCGGTAATTCGGCGGATGGTCCCTCACTCCCGCTCGGAGCGAAGGACCTCCCGCTGAATTGCCGCCGCAGATTGCGATCACGGCTTTATTTTGTATTTTTTATTTTTGGCTGCTTGGGGCGGCCAAAACCCTGGAGCTGGCCCTGGCTTTAATCATTTTTGTTGCTCTTCTCTGGACTTTCTCCAATTTGACCACATCTTTCCTGAAATGTGGCACCCAGAACTGGACACAATACTCTAGTTGAGGCCTAATCAGCGTGGAGTAGAGCGGAATAATTATTTCTCGTGTCTTGCTTACAACACTCCTGCTAGTACATCCCAGAATGATGTTCACTTTTTTTGCAATAGTGTTACACTGTTGACTCATATTTAGCAGTACTCCTTCCTAGGCAGTCATTTCCCATTTTGTATGTGTGAAACTGATTTTTCCTTCCTAAGTGGAGTGCTTTGTATTTGTCCTTACTGAATTTCATCCTATTTACTTCAGACCATTTCTCCAGTTTGTCCAGATCATTTTGAATTATATCCTGTCCTCCAAAACACTTGCAACCCCTCCCAGCTTGGTATCATCCACAAACTTTATAAGTTACTCTCTATGCTATTATCTAAATCATTGATGAAGATATTGAACAGAACCGGACCCAGAACTGATCCCTGCTGGATCTCACTCATTATGCCTTTCCAGCATGACTGTGAACCACTGATAACTACTCTCTGGGAATGGTTTTCCAACTAGTTATGCACCCACCTTATAGTAGCTCCATCTAGGTTGTATTTCCCTAGTTTGTTTATGAGACGGTCATGCGAGACAATATCAAAAGCCGTACTAAAGTCAAGATCTGCCACTTCCCTCCTAGCCACAAGGCTTGTTACCCTGTCAAAGAAAGTTATCATCCTTGTCTGGTCTGATTTTTCTGTCTGCACTCTTATTCAAATCTAATATCTAATCTATCTTGGTTCTTTTATCATGCCTCTCTGAGCACCTGTCCTGCTATATACATTCTAGGTGGTTTGATTCTCTTTGTGATAGATGAGGCTCATATTTTCCATGAATATTAATGCAAGTTAAGTGTAAAGGTAAAATGTTGCTTTCTTGCTCAGACATATTCTGCTGTACACACTCAGGCAAAACACTTTTGACTCTCCTGGGAGGTTAGCTTGAATGAGAAGTACAGAATTGAGCCACTGAGATTTATTTAATTTAAGAAACACCTCAGTGGAAAGTATTTTTTGTAAATGTCCCAGTTTACAACTTAATGCCTGGAGTCAGTTCTAGGACTGAGGTGCTAGTCTGCAGCAGCATTAGGCAAAGTTATTTTATTATTAATGTTCAAGCTGAATCTCAGTGGAATGCAGCAGAGTTCAGTTGAAAGCAACTGCATATTTGGTATAACAGCCTATAGCGTGTTCAACAGGAGAAGATTTCCTGTTTGGCGATTGTGAAACTGTTTGCTAATGACTTTTACTACTGAACTTAACGTAAAAAAATGTAGAGGAATAAATCAAAGCCTCATTCCTCGTAAGTCTATTCATTTCTCAAGTGCTGCTGAGCTTAAATAGTCTCACTATCAAACTTGGCATATTACTGTTTGTTTGGATAGTCTTAATTTATGCTGTTTTCCAATAACCTCTTTTGCTGAGACATCACATTCTTTGTCTTTAAAAACCCACTCTAGAAACCTGATAGCATTCAGAATGATCCAAGCAAGTAATGAGAACCGCATGTGCTGTAATAATTATATTTCAGATCATTTCTTGTTCTAATTTGGTCATGGACCTTGCAAATCATTATTTTAAAAATTATTATCTTAGGAGATGTTGAAATAAGAAGAATCTCACTGTTTGTGCAGAGAAATGGCTGTGAGCATGAAAGTAACAGCTGGGTTCTGTAATAGGGTTGCCCCGTACTGAGCACCCCCTCGTGGCGAGGGGTCACTCTGCAGAGCCCTGCCTCTGTTTCCCCCTCTTGAGGGCCTCTTACACAGGCTCTCCACACTTTTTCTGTGGTCAAAGAACCCCTCCTTGCAGGTCTGGGTTTATTCACAGAAAATCATTCAAATCAAAACTCAAACTCCCAAATTGACATCCAACAGACAAATGTTTCTCTTCCTACTCCCATGCCTCCCTGCCTGGAGAACTTTTGCACTCTCTCCCCTGCTTGCTCAGGGTCTCTCCTGACTTAACAGGCTACTCCCAGCCCTTCCTGGCTGGAGTCTTAGTCCCAAAACCCAACAATCTCTGCTCTCCCTGAACATCTCCCCCACCTCCACTGCAGCTTCCAGCTGCTCTTTATAGGAGAATCACCTGATCCCCTCTCTAGTGGGTCTCATGCTCTAATCGGAGCTGGCTTAGCCACAGGCTTTCCAGCCCGTGGGGCAAGCCACCCTGTTCCAGGCTCAGTTATTGTCTCTCTAAGTTGTTCAGGATTTGAAGAAAGTTCTAAATGTTGACCACAGCTAAAAGTGAATGCGGCTGCGACAGATCCCTAATTTAAAGACATGACTTCTGTGCTGCTTTGTTAAAATGTGTGGACATTACATCATTGTCCTGTCAATCCGCAGCCCTGTTTTACTTTTGCTTCTTCTGTGGAGTCAGGTGTAATTACAGCTATTGATTAAATATTTGGGAAATTCAATGCATGTACCCACAGAGATCAATCAAACTAGATATTAAGACATCTTGGTGTGTAACTAAGTGTCATGAGAGAATATTTTTAAAAAACCATTATAAATTTACATGTGTGCACACTGCAGTTTGCCATAATAACAAACAAACAAAAAATTAGCTGTTTAGCTTCCCCTAAAACAGCCATTTTAAAATACAATGATACACACACAGTTTCAAGCACAAGTAGAATTTTAGCAACAACATTTTTGTATTAAATATTGCAAGATTCAGGAAAGCCTGAAATGAGAGCACTTTTTTGTTGTTTGTTTTGAAGATAAAATTCCTTGAATTTACTCCATGAGCCAAATAACAGTGGCCATTTGCCTTCTGAAATTATTACCTTATTTTTTCAAATGTGCTTTCTACCTGAGAATTGATTGATTTACTAAAAATATTAGCGAGCTGAAAAAGGAATCTATAAAATCCAAACCAAATCATTTATTAAAGGCTTCTCTTATATAAGGCTGATGTTTTAGACTCTTTTTTACCTTTCACTTTTTGTTAGTCCTAAGGCTGGCTAAGACAATAACAGAAGACTTATTTAAGCTGAATATATTCATTTATGCTTTTAAAGCAGGCAGCAGTACATACTAATTCCATTTACTGACTGATAAAACGTAAATCACGCATTTCTATTATATGTTTTATGCCTTTTGGGAGAGCTTTTATAAGAAAGATGGGGGGTTTTTTTCCCAAGGAAAGTGATTGATGTCATACAGAGCTTTGTGGAAAGATCTCTTTTATTCATGGCCAGGCCAAAACATTAATCTGATCAGTAGCCCCTAACCAAACCACACAGTGCATTTCTCAGAAACATTTGTTTGGGAAAACAACATTCCCACAAGGATCAATGCCAGTGTTTCTATTTTTTTTCTTTTACACCAAGTAAAACACTTACAGGAATTAACTAGAGGCCATCTGAGGACTTTGTCTTTTTTACTTTTTTAATTAAAAATGAGGTCCTGTAAAATGGTTGCTTGAGCTCACAGCTGCTATAATTTCTGCTTCAGCTTAGTAATGGATGCTAGAGACAAAGCCAAACCTCTTCACTGCACTGTGGGGATTGAGCTCCTGAAGTGCAGGATTTTCTGCCCTCTTTCTCCCAGTCCCTCCTCTTATGCCACTGTCATCCCCATCCTTCAAGATATGTGCAAATCATTTTCTGCTGTTTATGCGATATCCAAATTCTTGGACATAAAATGGGCAGGGGTTACGAGTGAATTTCTAGCTATAGAAGAGAGACTACGAAGCTAGTCAAAGCTGCCTCAGCTATCTGAATGCCTAGTTACCATAAAGAATTGGGTGCCCCAATACCACAGGCTACTTTGATAATCCCAACGTAAATGGCTTGTTGAGGGAAGGGAGGATGTTGATAATTTGTAATTTTATCCATCTAGCAGCAATAGAGTACCTGCAATTATATTGGAGAGGCTTATAAAACAATTTAAGATATCGAGGATGGATCTAAACATGTATTCTTTTATCGGTCATTCTTTCTTGTACATGGGCTTCACGGTTCTTTTTTTTTTTTTTCTTTGAGGATCATTCAGACAGCCCTCTTGGTGCAGCCGTAACCCTGGCTCATGAGCTGGGCCACAACTTTGGGATGAATCATGATACCCTGGAGAGGGGCTGTACCTGCAAAGCATCTACTGATAAAGGTGGCTGTATCATGAACCCCTCTACTGGGTAAGTGCAAACATTAGTAAGCGTTAGTTGGTGGGGAGGAAATTATGCTGTAGTTTGTTATCTCGGGAAGCTTTTGAGTAAAAGTTTACACAATGAGGCCAGTCAAAGCTTCCCACGAAAACCCCTCCACAAGTAGAAACAATAAAACTTGTTAGCAGAACAAAATTTGCCATGTTGAGTTCTCTAGTGTGGAAGAGAGAAAAATGCCATGAGAAGCAATGAATTGTTTGTTGTTTTGAACAACCCCTGTTATAATACAGTGCAGGCATTTTTATCAGAACTTCCACTACTGTCATCTTGCCAGTGTGACATCACAAATAATCATAAGGGGGAATGACCAGAATAAAGGCCATGACCAAAATTAGTATGTAGGAAATAAAGTGTTAGGCTTTCTGTTATTTCACTTTTGGTGCAGTTCATTCCTGTGCAGAAGATCAGCACAAGCATGATGCACCACATAAGTCCTAACTTAACCCCTGTTTTGAAGAAGACTGAAATGGGATGTGAATGCTATGTAGGCTTTGCATGGGGTGAGGGATGAACTCTACCTGTATTTTTTGCAGCTATACCAGCATGAGCTGTGAACAAATCAGATCTCATAAGCTAAGCAGAGTCAGGCCTATTCAGTATTTGGATGGGAGTCTTCTGAGGGAAAAAACAAGGCAATCTAGGGAGTCATGGTGATGAATCAATAGGCGACACTCTTCTTTCTGAGTCAATACTGAGGAGATACTCAAGCATGGTGTTAGGAGGCTGCGGCTGACAGCCTGACCTTTTATGGACATCAAAGATACAATGGTGTTTTCTACAAGAGGTCTTGGACTTCTGGCACAGTTCACTAATTACAGCCTGTTCTACAATATTAGAAACTGAAACACCCAGCCTTGGATGTGCATCTGTTTTGTCATCCATAGTCTGTATATGTGGGCTTTTTTGTATATTTTACTCTGTCAGTTACGAAGCTTTTCAGTGTTAGGATTTGTGACCATGCTCAGGGTTCTTTCGTCTCTGCTGGTGCAGTGACTGCATATTTCTTGGAAAGGAGGTAGGAGAGGAGAGGGAGTGTCATGCAGGAGAGCTCCCTGCTGATCAGCCAAACAGCAGCTTTGGCATCTGCTTCAAAGGCAAACTGTCATCCTTGTTAAGAAAAGAAAAAGGTGCTGGCTAGTGGCCAGTCATAGCAAGCTAGGGGACAAACAATGAAAAGAGATTGGTGTGTTTGTGGGGGAAAGGGAGCGATTTCTAAAGTTTTGCATAAGAAAAATAGCTTGGCTTTTCTAAAACAATAGGTAATAAATATCCTTGCAGAATTCTGTTCAGCAGCACATCACAGCTATTACACACACTAAAAAAACAAACTGAAATCGGCAACATGACCATGAGGAGTGCTAATGTGATTGGTAACTCCTGACTTCATATCTGCAATGAGCAGACAGATTTTATATCTTAGTGCCTGAATGATATACACAACCTTTAACGATCAGCCGAATTAGTATTTGTGCACCTGGTCACCCTGCAGCTTCAGAAGAAACCACAAGAGGGCCCCACGGGAAGAAACCTCATGAAGTTTTCCCCAAGTTATTCTGTCAGTTTGCCCTACCTCTATGGATTAGGGAGCAGTGCTATGCACAGAATTCTGTAGATCCACACAGGACCCCTGTGTCTCTACGTTGGCTCTGCAGCCCTCTGCCCCTATGGGCTCGCTGACAGCTCAGGTCCATTAACTGCTAGGGTGTCCTCTAGCAACCACAAGTTCTGGGCCTCACCTGCCCTCAGTGATGGTTCCAACACAGAGCAGGTTGTGAAACAGTTAACATAGCCTCAAGTTGCATTAGCTTTCCACTGGCTTTTATGCTTCTCCTCATCCACCTCCTGGCCCTCCATGGATCTCCAACCTGTGAAGGGCTCTCCTTGGGGGTCTGTTCAGAAGGAGACTATGGGAGGTTGAAAATTAGAGAAGAGCAAGATTATTTAAACTACTAAAACCTTCTCTTTTTATTCATCCAGCTTCTTTCATTTGTTCTTCCCAGGATGCATGATGAGCACTGACTGAAGTGAAAGGTCTCTTTAGACACCATATAACCATGCTATGACGTGATAAAAGGCCAGGTCATGGACCATGCAGAGAATAGGTGTCTCTGAACCACCTTTCTGCTCCCCTAATCTTGATGCCATCCAGAGGCTAGTTTCTCCGGCCATACTTCAGTTGTTCTAAATTATGCCACCAACGATGGCCCACCAGACAGGGATCACAACTCCCTTTCCTCCATGCTTCTCAGAGGAGCTGTCCCAAAGGCTTTTAATAGTAATAACATTCTGATTTCTAAGCCCACCTGGAGGACTAAGTGCATGTTTCTAAAACAAGGCATTTTGGAGTTAGGAGAGAGAGGAGTAAAAGTGAGAACAATTGTCAGAAACCAGAGTACACACAAACTCAACCCTAGGAAGAGATGTGACTTTCAGAAATCCAAGGGGATCTGGTTTACTTTTTCTCCTGGAAGGTCCAGTCACATTGGTGACTTGCCAAAGGATTGATGTCTTGGCAAGGTCTGTGAGGGGAACTACAGTGAAGTTCCAGGAAAAATCATCTTTAGTAGCTAGCTATGACTAAAAAGGACCACACCACTGGTTTTTTAGTCTTTGGGATGGGAGTACTGCCTGTTGCCTCTACCTTATCGATGAGGGTTTGTACACACCCATTCCCCACTAGCTACCCCAAATACTTGGTTTCATGCTTGCCCACCTGGCACTTTTTCAGGGTTTGCTGAGAGATTGACCCCATGGAGGACTGCAGTATTGCAGCCAGATTTTAGAGGTGAATAAGCCACTCTTGGATGTAGACCACAACATCATCTAGAAATGCCACTGCATAAAAATGGTGAGATCATAATACCTCCTCTGTCAACTTCTGGAAGATGGCTGGGCCCCATGTCACCCAAAGTCATGGTGGAAAGTGGACAAAGTGGAACAAGCCTATCAAGATAGCAAAAGCTGTTTTTTTCCTGAGAGTCAGGGGGAAAGAGGAATCTGCCAATAGCCCTTGGTCAGATCTAAAATAGTAATATATTGGGTCTGGCTAAGACACTCTAGTAAATCATCCACCCGCAGCATAGGGAAGGCATCAAAGCGGGAAATGGCATTTACCTATCTGATGTCCACCCAGAAACAGATGGCCCCCTAGAGTTTCAGGAGCAGGACTACCAAGGGTTAAACGATTCCTTGATTACCCCCAGTTTCAACATTAATTCAACTTCCTGAACCAGTACCTTCTTCATCCCTTCTGATATTCAGTAGGATTTCTGTGCCAGCTTGGCCCCTCTTACTATAAGGGAGGTCCACCCTTGTAGCAATGAGAATATGTCCTTGAATACCTTCAGGAGGTTACCCATTTTCCCTCACTGTACCATAGTTAGCTGCAGCCCTAGAGCTACCTTCTCAACACTCGCAGGTTCAGGAATCTGGGTCCTAAATCCTCCCCATCATCCTCTGAGGGAATGAAAACACCCTGCTGTGCCCTCTAGGGTTTTTGCAAATTAATATGAAAAATGTGTCTTTGTTTCTATTTGTCTGGGCACTGCACCTTGTAGTCTACAGGCCCAACCTGCCAGAGTGCCTTGCCACTTAGCCAGGAGCTTGCTCCAGGGAGATAATTTTTTGGGAGGGGGAAGGTTATTGATTTACAATGGGAATTTTTAGCCTCTGTCTTTACCTTCAAGCTTAGCTACGAAGTAGCTGCTGCCTGTCTGTAATAAACATTCCAGGAGATATACTTTACAGTCTTATAAAAGAATTCAAACAATATTTTGTTAGTCTAAAATTACCAGTCTGAGTATTTACCAAAATATGTAATCTCTGGGACTATTCTTATATGTAGGTTACTCGCTGAACCCTGAAATGTTTGCAGGCTTGGAGGCTAAGAGTGTGATCATTTCTGAAAATGCTAGGTGAATGTTCCCTACCTGGAAAATATTCTCGGAACAGTAGAAACATAAAAAGAAAGAGGATATAAAGAAGCCCAAATACATTCCTAAGGCAGTGTCTGCTTCCAGTATATGTATTCCCTTCCCATCCATGCCCTCTAATTTCTGTTGGTTTAAGCAGGGTGTTACAAAACTATAAAAGAAAAAACTCTCTCAGGCTGAGATTAAGCTTTAAAAAAGGATCAGCCCCAAAGAAGTCTTTATTCAAGAGCTATAAAGGGTAGGAAAAAACATAGGTTGGAAGGACAGGCCTCCTGCAGCCTTAATTTTGGAGTCACTAATGTGGTTCTGTAATGAAGGAAAATGTTTGAAGTTTTTTTCATTTTAAAGTGATTTCATTAATTATTGCCATCTTCTTTCTTTGAAGAATTTAACATTAAAAACTTGTCTTGGAAATTATTACTTAGTGGAAGCAGCCTCCTGGGATCAGGAACCTAAACTCTGTTGGATCTGTCCATTAATGAGCTTCCTGTAGCTTTTAGTATTAAAAGGTACCTGAAAGATGTGCATGCAACTTTTGTATGAGCAAGAAATGCTTTAAAGAGTCAAACACTTTAGCAAAGTATATTTGGCGTAATATTCCATATAGAATTATGGATCAAAAGAGCAACATGGTACCTCTGCTGCCCCAGAGATTCAAATATCATCTAGCAAAAACATATGTCACAGTACAAGAGTGGGGCTTTTGTGATAAATAAATTGTATCAACAGAAAAGTGTTTAATGATAAGGTACAATTTCCTTTCTAAGCTTGTCTTTTAATTATACTTTTTTGCCTCTTTTAGTTCTTTTGAATTTAAACTCTTTTTGAGAGAGGAAGAATGGTGAAAAGCCCAAATGGCGAGTCTAGAGTCTTAATGAGTGCTGGGCATAACAAGAATGGGCTGGAGCCAAAGGGATAGAACTAACTGTGGGGCCATTCCTGTAGTTCGTGTACATTTTATCTTCTTACCAGCTTTAATCCCAGTGGCATAAGTATCAATTTGAAGAAAAAAGCATTTTATAGTTCATATTCCTTAAT